AAGAAAATTATTACTAAATAAATTATTGATTTGTCTCAAAATATGCACTACTATAATTTATACCAGTAGAATCTCTCACATATACTATTAAGAAAGTTTGTAAGTTATAAGCTTCTATTCTTTCCTTTCTTCCGTTAGCATGAAGTTTCGCTGCAATTTTATTTTTTTTAAGTCATGATTATTATTCGTTTCAATTTAATTATAATTTCTAGATTTTTGGTTACATTTTAACTGATTAGTCCGATTACAATAAATTCATTTATTTGCAGCAAACAATTACTTCCCCCTCTGTCAAGTTCCTGTTTTAGATAAGTCTACTCCAATTTCATTTTACGATCACGTTTCGTTATTATATTATATATATATGTGGTAAATGCAGATGATAACTATTCGATAAATCTCATTGAACCCACGTGAAATATCTATATAAAATAAATTATTATATAATACATAATAAATATATTTATATTATATTATTTATATACGATTAACTGTTTCATAATATATATTAGAAATCCAAAAATAAAATGAAATTTAATGAAATATTAATACTACTATTTAAAAATTTATCATCTAATAATATAATTAGATATAATTTATATCTGTTCAACTTTCTAAAAGAAAATAAAAATCTTATCCATTAAGAAAAAAAAAAAGTTTGCAATTGAAAATTTAGACATTGACGATTTTTTTCTTTTTCTTAGTCTATTCTTTATAGTATGAGAAGTTGCATTTAAACATTAGAAGTGTATGATTTGCTTCAATAGTTTTAGTTATCACTGAGAAGCGGTGGTTGAACCATAAACATTTAATTTGCATGTCTAAAATAATAAAAGCTACTTCTTATATGGAAATTATGTGAAATTTTGAAAATTCTTGCTTAAAATACTGAATTTTTATAATAATTAAGATACTGGTACGTCTTGAAGTACCTTTATCAAAAGATTAGAATAATGTTAGTGGTTTACGACATTACGTCGACTAACCTAAATGATGATGTTTAAAGCAGAATTTAATACACACTAAAAGGATACCATATACGGCCTTAATTTTAACTTTGCTTATATTTTTGTGATAAACTTTGGTCATGTATACGTGTCTAACAAATTACACTTAAAACTAATTGACTAACTTATTTGTTGTTTGATTAGTCTCCTTTAATTAATAATATAAACCTTATTTAATAGAAATTCGAATGCATGTTAATATAACCATTGTAAATTTACACTAATAACTTGATGTAATTACAATAAAACTTATTTTTACCGACAATTATTTAACGACAATAAATTAATTATCTTTATTTTATTATTTAATAAAAGTATTAATGATTAATATATAATGGCCACTAAAAATATATTTATATCGCACCAAAATTTACTATTAACGACAATTATATTAAGAAAAACTTTAGTCTCACATTGACTAGAAATAAGATAATTAATGAGTATATATATGGATGATAACTCTCACCTTATAAGTGTGTTTTGTAGGGTTGAGTTAAACCTATAACTAACTATCCTAAGTTGGTATGAGATTACTCACTATTTCAAACTCAATAGTTCTATAAACTTAAGGAAATTGACTATTGATAAGATAATTAAAAAAAAATAAGAAAATTAAATATATATATATATATATAAGTAGAAGACAATCTTCATTTTTATAAGTCTCACATCAACTAGAAATAAGGTAATTAAAAAAATAAGAAAAGAAAATCTTCATCTTACAAGTCTCACATCGACTAAAGATAAAGTAACTAAAGAGTATTTGTACTTATCTTACAAGTCCCACATCGACTAGAAAGTACAAAATATCACAAAAAGTTATACACTTTTTTCGATCATTATAAGGTTTTTACCAGCATTTAGAATAATTGCCGCTAAATGTTTTAGCGACACCGCATACAATGGCTAATGTGAAAATGCTGGTAAAAGATTTTGTAGCAATTTTTATTGCCACTAAGTCATATTAAATGTCACTAAAAATTTATTTTGTTGTAGTCATATTTATTTTAAATGTCATACCACACATATACACATGTACACATATACACATGTCTCACGCTTTGGATCCAAAGCCTCACGATTTTACTTTTAGACCTCTAAACCAATGGAGATATGTATATAAACCCATGACCATCCGGGGTTACCACACATATACACACCTGTCAGCCATCAGGCTCGTCGAGTCGGTCACCTGATCAGACCATCGGCTCTGATACCACTTGTTGTGTAGTGGGAGTTATCACACATATACACATGTCTCCACTTTACTTTTGGATATTACCCAAAAGGCCTCTAAACCAATGGAGACAATTGTGTATATATAAACACATGATCATCCTATTATTTGAACGATGTGAGACTTTACTTGCATCTTAACAACTTGAATAGTTTGAATAAGAATATCCTGAAATGATAACTTTGGGGTTAACAGAACCTAAGCCAACCTTATACACAATCTGTTTTTATTACTACTTATTAACAGAAATTTTTATACCTTAAGGTAAACCACCTATACCAACTTGTGTTGACTCAAGTTTACTGTTTCTATGAAAGTTCGGTTATATGAATAAACTATTAGAAGGAATAGACGCCATGACGATTTATTAACCAACAATTTCGGTCTCCACCATTTCATATAGTGAATGCTTTTTTGATATTTTTTTTTTCTGATAAGCGAATGAATATGCATTTACACGTACAATTTGACAGGAACAATTGAATTGAGCACAAGGTGTGCAACAACTGTAGATAGCAGCAAATTAGATAATGAAAGTTAACAGCACTGACCCAAGCAATATGTATATATTCATTCGATTATATGTTACATACGTCGTTGATGGTGCAGATTCCTTGTTACGAAATTTGTGTTGAAATTTTATACATACAATACAGCTATCAAGATTCTAGGTAAACAGATATATAACTTTTTTGGTTGTGCATATCAAATTCAAGAACATATAAGAAATCACACACAAAAGTAATGGCTGGCAACAAGAACATAGTGAGGCAGCTTAACTTTTTTTGGAGATTTTGACACGTCAAAACCATATAAGTTTTTTCCAATAAATAAATATCAGCAGGGATTTGACATGCGCATAACTTTAGGTTTTGTTTTTTTAAGATATCTCTGTGCAAATTACGACGAAGTTCTTTCCCTAAAGTCAAACATATATTGGTCCGAAATTTGTGTGTTTCTAATAGACTAATAGTGCTATCGTTTCATCACTGTTCACTGAGCATAGCCTCCATTGTATTTGTACATCAAATCACTTTCCCTCAGCAAACGTTCATCGTCGATCGTCCAAGCAAGTTCTCAACCCAACGGTGTTGTGGATAAAGTTACATCTGATATGTATATTCTTTCTTTACCAACTTGGCTATTAGGTCCTTCAAACATGCTAATTATAATCCGATTCTTAATTATATTTGTGAAAAATCTTTTACTAAAATAGATATAACATACTTCGGTAATCTTTATATCTTAAAAAACACTACCAGCAAGAAATATCCTTTAGAGCACACTAAAAATAATCATAATGCTATCGTTTTTGTAACATTTTGACGACACGTTTGATAATTTAATATGCTCGATAGCACATATCATGACACCTAAATCTCACTTTTGGGAACTGCGTCGATTAATGTAACATAGAAAGTGCTAATGGCACCAAAAAAACCATCCGTGTTGAGTTAACCAATATATGAATGTCATTAAAGAATTAAATTGATAAATGTAATCATCTTAAAAGATTAAATTGACAATAATTATATCTTTCATGTATTAAATAATGGTTTAACTAAAAATTTAATTACCCGTAAAAGTTTAAGTGTAACACGAGGAGTGTTGAATTATTAGTGGGTTGGATATAACTGTGAAATTGGTGGAAAAAAAAATTAGACCCTTTTAGAAATAACAACCCAACACTTATATTCTTTATTTTCCATCATCCTAATACATGTGGAACTTGTATTTTTCAACATTCATTCAATTTAGATGGGGGAGAGAAAAAAAAATAGAGAGAAAAAAATAGATGTGATATGTCATATAATAGAAAAGATGCACAGAAAAAAATGTAAAAATAAATTGTAAAAGAATGATATGTATGTTCATAATTACCGTTTCATCTAATGTCATAACAAATTGATGGTTTTGTTTTAATTATTTTGTAGCAATATAACTATATAGGATTATATGTCAAAAAACTATATAGGATTTACGTTACATTTGAACACAATTAGCATGAATTTTATGCATGTGTACATTTTACTCTAAATTAAATTTTAAAAAAAAAGTATCAATATATGTAATTATTTACTCTAAGCGAAATGAGTTATACTTTACGATATTTGTTTATCTGCTACTATGTTTTTTATCCGTATTTACTTTCCAATCTACTTCTGCTTGGGTCAACCTATCCATCCAACGAATTGAAATTGGATCAGAGTGGATATGCCCGCTTTACCATCCTAAGGCCCATAGTTAGTTTGGCACGATGAAGCCATTGCATTTTTTTACTTTACCTTTAGATATTACTTCCTAATTGGCCCACTCCTTTACTAACTACATGAATTAATATGGCACATATGTTACCGTACTACCTTCAAGAATTTTCACCAATCATTAATCTTCCATAGTTCCATTGTTGCTTAAAATAATATTTCGTCATCTTTTGGAGTTGGCCCACTACAAAAAAAAAAGTAGCTTTAACAAGATAGTCAAACTATGGGTAAAGTAGAAAGATACAACATTTATAACCAAACAAGGTTCAGACGTTGTTTTGTCAGCATATTCCAACTGTATACTCCATATTTTCCAAAAGACTGATAATGGCATTGGTATGTCATACTAATTGCACAAAAAACCTAGGGTTCTTTTCCTAAGACTAGATCCTACCAAAATATTGAATGTTTAACTTGAGTGGCGAAACTTAGAACCTTAACAAAAGGATAAATTGCCGTTATCACTTATCATCAAAAATTAGTCTCCCCCAGTTAATGTAATTAAACAAGTATGGCTTTTATAACCAAATTGAAATGTGACTTACAAAGCTTACCATTCTGAGTGACCAACAAATTGGCCATATCAATCAATGGAAACACAACACACATGAAATGTGAACAGCATAGGGAAGTGATCATGTGATCTCTCTGAGGTTACAAATGAAGAGTAATGCCAAAATGAAAATGAAAAATGTGATATTACCAAACCTTACAAGCAAAATGAAAAACCCTGCCTATAAATCTAACCCCCCCAATTTTTTCAAAGAAAAAGTCAAAAGACAGAAGTTAAGAAAAGGAGATTGCATAATCCTGGTGTTAACTAAAAATTCAATAGCAAAAACAACATGATGCCTCGGACACTTGATAGATGCACGCTAGGTGAAACTCTCAAGGTTCATCCCTGTACAAAAGGTATGACCAGTGTACCAAAACAGGTTATCTGCAAAATATCACAGCTCATCAAGATCTTGATCTAGCAAAGAGCCTTCAGACCTTCTGTTTAAGAGTCACATCCAGTATCCCAATAGATATTTTAGGTTTGTAATGTTCATCTGTATCCACTTCTTCAATTTCCTGCCACAGGATTACATAACATTCAATATCAACCTTAATCATCAAACTCCTTGACTTTGTACATTTTGCAATTATTAAAAGCCATAATTTCACCGAAACAAGAAACATAAGTAATATAGCAGATATTCAAACAGCTGGATGTATTGTCATTCCAAACACAACAGCAAATCGCAGAATATTGACTCCATTTATACAGACATCAAGAGTTGCGTGGAATCTACCTTCTACAACCATTATTGTCCTTAACTAGTTTTAAAAATTGATTATAACACCTGCAAGGTGATAAATCTACAAATATTGGTTTTGCACAACACATTTTTGTTTCTTGGAATTAATTTTAAACAATTACAATCCTTAACAGTCATCACATGAAAAAATAGCAGAAAGCCTTCTCAAGTAATGGAAAATGGAAAAATGAAAAGGACAAAATAAGCTACAAAAGGAAAGGGCAAACATATTTTCACACACAATATTGCAGACAAACAATCGAGAATTAAGCAAAATTCAGTCACCTGAACAACATCCTCTCCCTTGATGACTTGCCCAAACACAATAAGTTTCTCATTTAGATCTGGTATCGGTGCAGTAGTTATGAAAAGATCAAATCCTTTGTTGTTGTGTTTGCCTTTGGAAGTTCCAAGCATGAATGCTTCATGTTTCATACTAGTTAATATCACAATATCCATTAATTAGAAAATTGTGCAACTAGTAGATCATTACTGTGATTGTCTATGAGAAACTTGAATTCAAAAACCAGAAGAATTACAATACCTAGAAATAGTATGTTGCTTTCCTCTCAAGTTCCAATCTTCAGCAGCTCCAGTTCCTTGGTTATCCCCTGCCTGAATCACATAGTGCTTAATTACTTGGTGAAAAAGCATCCCCTTGAAATGCCCTTTTTGACTGCAAAACAATTGTAGCTTAGGTTGAAACCATAAGCAGATAGATTCAAAGATAGCAAACCCCTCAAGTCATTATAAACAAGCTACCAACATATATGATGCCTAAAAATTTAAAATATCAGACAACCAATAGAGTTGTGTGAACAGAAAAGTTTCCATTCACATCATTCAAATACAGGCAACATATGCTCATTTGGAATGCTATGACAGTATTGCTATATTGAGTTATAACTAATAAGCAACAATTAAAGTGTGTTTGCCTGTTTGGAAATCATTTGTTAACATGGATCACCATTCTCTTGCAGCATCTGACACAAAAAGCTGCTCTTAGAGCTTCTGCGTCTCTTACATTTGATGTAAAAAAATAACAAGGATGTGTGTCAAAGATGTGTCCAAACAAAGTTATGGTAGTCAACTTAGTTTACACAGCTGTCACAATATATGGCTTAGAAAACCTATATTGAGTGATGTGGCAACACTCAAACTTGCAGTACTCAATTTAGATTTCACAAATGTCACAAATCACAATCATATGGCTTTGAAGACCTATATATTCTACGATAAGCAAGTCTACATGCACAAAACTGCAACTGCATAGATGTTTAACTAAAGTAAGTTCCATATAAAAAGTGCAAATAAACAAAATGTTCTAACAAGTTTTATAACACATCTTTCCCAAACATACACTTAAGCTATCACTGTGGAGTTTGAAATATGAGAGAAAGTGAGAAACTAAAGCATCTTAGATAATACGTTTGGGTCATGCTCTACATATATCTGATTGGACTTTAACTGATAAACAATTTATTTCCAGAGAAACTAATGTTGAAACATAGCACAACATGATTCAATTCACCATAGACAGAAAGTAATCTTTGATGTGAATAATGGAGAAGACTTTAAAAGTTTAAATATTAAATGATGATCTCATAATGAGTTGAGATTGAAAATTTGTGAAGTTAAATTATGAACTGAGTCGGATGAGGAACAAAATATATTTTAGCTAAAATTATCCCTATGCAGTTTATCAATTGATCCAATCATAATATACTAATGAATTATACAAACTTATAGCTTTATACCAAATCATTCAATTTTATGTTGTTAAGGATTACAGACAAAAGAAAAAGTAGTGTAAAAATAACTTGAAATACTACCATCACCAAACAACAAAGATCAAATTTTCCTACTTATCTTTATCACATAACGTCAATACTATTCCAACAAGTCCAACCAAAAGGAATGAGAAACAAAAATAGTTTACAAGAATCAAACCCTAAACCATCCAGCAGCCTCCAAATTATAATTTAGTAGGAAATTCAATTACTCACCATAAGTCAATGAATTCGTCAACAACTTCAGGAGCACTTTCCTTGTACAGTTTTATTATTATAGAACCTTTAGAGGTATTTAAGACCTATAATAATGAAGAAAGAGAAAACCAGCTTATCAGATAAAATAATTTCATATAATGAGTATTCTAAACCTCGTTGAAATTTAAGGCCTATGTGGTTTGAGAAAAAAAAAATTGTTTTCACAAATAATTACAAAAAATCTCACCTTGTTTTTACTTTGATTCCTGTATGAATCTTTGAACATGGGAAACAAGTAGAAAATAAGGTGCATTTCTTTGTAATTATTTGTAAAAACAAGAAATGAAATAGAAAATGTTTTTTCCAACCAAAGAAACCCTTGAGTAGAAAAAGGTTCAAAAAAACAAGGAATTAAAAGCAGTATGGAAAAACTTACAGCATATCCAGGCAGATCAGATTTCTTTGACTCCCCTCCAAAAGTATTTTCGCCCTACCAAAAAAGTAGTTTGACTAAGAGAGTATAATTCTGTTGATAAATGGAAAAACTATTGACCTATCCCGGTGGGCAAACTCAAAACACAATTTACACCCTTCAGATAAAAGGAAGAAAATATTATGCAGGTGCATCAAATAACAAGCAACTATTAAAGGACAGAAGAAATATGAAAACCTATATAATGCATTTAAGGAAGTACCTGGGAAACTGACAAGTGATTTTCAGACTGCAACCTTGACCTGAATGCATGCAAGAAATGAATTATTAGTTCCTTAGTCTATATAAGAAATTAGAACACATGTTAAAAATCAATACTCACCATATCCTATAATGACCTTACCACACAAATCATGCAACTAATGCTCGTTCAATTTAAACTCATCTTGCTAAAATAAAAACACTCTAAAGAGTCCAATGGAAAAGCTTTTGTTATGTTCGATAAACGAAAAATTTCTTCAGCCATATATAGAGCAGAAACTAGAGTGACATCAGAATGAAGCTAAAAGGTTCAAATTAATCACCACTAACAAGGGGATTTTCTGGAAATCGAGATAGTAGTAAAACCTTCTAGCAGCCAAGTGCAACTTTCTGGCATTCATCTATCTAGTAACAATGAAATCTAAAATATCATCAACCACTAATCCTCAAGCTCAACAAGTCAAGATGAAGCTAGACTTCAATTTCGCCAAGTATCATTTTTAACACATTTTATTTGTTCTGTCTAAAAACAAAAAATATATCACATATTATTTCACAAACTAAGACTATTCCTTAACAACTAAAACGGAAAATCTGACACTAACCTGCTGGACCAATGTCTGTACGAAGCAAAAAGGAAAAAGCCAATCAAGGCAAGAATCAAAAAGTAAAATATGATAGTCGTGGCACTTATGCGAGAAGGACCCTTCTTCCTTTTACTTTGCTGCAGCAGAGCCTGAGGTTTGATCCTCGCCATTTAACCTAATCTTCAGTTTCAAGGATATCATCAATTTCCAGGTAATAAAACAAAATCAAAGGTTTCGAATTAAAAAACTACACAACCAAAAAAAAAAAACATTGTTTATGACAACCACGGAGAAACCACCTAACTCATTCAATAGCAATATCATCCAAATCTTACAGTTAACTTCAAAAAATCAAACACAAACAAAACCCCAACGCCCAAAGTTTGAAATTTTCAAAACGATGCTCAATCCGCAGCAAGGATTTTCCTATGAGACACAATCAGCATCATAATTGAATACAAATTAAGATCCATCAATCAGGAGACAGTTGCATCCTTTAAGATTTGGTCAAAAGCAATAACTTTATTTAAGACTTAGAGGGGGGAAGAAAAAAAGAAGAAATTAAACAATACCCAGTAATTATTAGAACCCAAAAACGGCATAAACCTTCTTTTTCTTCCTTAGTTAGAATTTTTTTTATAAAAAAAAAAAAAAAAAAAAA